AAGAGGGGACTTTACTTTTTTTTGAAATGGAGTCTCTCTCTGTCTTGCCCAGGCTGGAGTGTAGTGGCGGAACCTTGGCTCACTGCAGCCTCTGCCTCTCAGGTTCAAGTGATTCTCCTGTCTCAGCCTCCCAAGTAGCTGGGACTACAGGCATGTGCCACCACACCCTGCTCATTTTGTATTTTTAGTAGAGATGGGGTTTCACCATGTTGGCTAGACTGGTCTCAAACTCCTGACCTCAGGGGATCCACTCGCCTCAGCCTCCCTAAGTGCTGGGATTACAGGCATGAGCCACCACACCAGGCCAAGAGGGGACTTTTCTGATTCATGGTCTGAAACCTTGTGGCAGGCAGGGGTCGAGCTGGCCCAGGGGTGTGAGTGGACCCAGCTCTCTCACGCTCTCTCTCTGGTCGCCTTCTTTCTGCTTCTTTCTCTGTACTGGCTTTCTCCATATTGTGTCAGATATGGTCAGAGTCTGTTCTCCAGTTCCACTGAGCAACCCTGAAAGAAAGAGAACTATTACCACGTCAGCCAGTCAGAAAAGCCCCAGCGATTACATTTCACATGGAAACACAGAAAGGCATCTTGTACTTTGTGGTTTCTATTTTACAGTCTCTGACTTGGTTCTTGGTCTGTTTGAGTTGCTGTGACAAAATATCTTAGACTGGGTAATTTATAAACAACAGAAATGTATTGCTCACAATTCTGGAGTCTGAGAAGTCCAATAACATGGCACCAGCAGATTTCATATCTTTCACGAGCTCACTCTGTGCTTCAAAGATGATGCCTTGCCTTCTCACTGTGTCCTCACATCGTGGAATATGCAGATGGGCTCCCTCAGGCCTCTTTATAAGGGCACTAATCCCATTCACAAGGGCTTCACCCTCATACCTAGTCATCTCCCAAAGTCCCTACCTTTTAATACCATCACATTAGGGGTTGAGGATTTCAACATATGAATTTTGGAGAGACACAAACATTCAGACCATAGCAAACCCCCACCCCCCACCTTAAAAAAAAAAAGGATAATTTTTCTAGTTCTCCTCTAAAATGTCAAGGGAAATCACCTATGATTTATGTAGGAAGCCAAATCTATTTTATTTAATGAATAAATAGATGGCACTGTATATGAAAAAGTGCTTGTCTTAGCACCATAGGGAATAAAAGAACATGTTAATCAAGCCAAAGTATTGCAAATAAATGATTTTGCTATTGAAACTGAAAATGGATCTCAATTAGTTACTTTGATTTTCCCCCTGCTGCATTAAGAGATTTTATTTCTCTTCCTCTCTAACCCTACCTGTTTCTAGCTCTATGCCACCCCACCCTGTACCACAATTTGAATACATTTTTTTCCGAAACATGCAAAGCCTTTTACATTGCAAATAATTTTCATAACTTGCCTGCCAAAATAGGATTAATCTCTTTGCCTCCTTTGTCCATAAAATAATCCCCACATATAAAATTATATTCTTCTCGGCTGTTTTCATTGTAGCCAACAATCAAAGTTAAAAGCTATCACTATCCCCAGGAAATGAACAGTGCTCAGATTGGTGAAAGAGAGACCTCCTGATGTTGAATTTTATGTAAGACAAGAAATGGAAACTCTGCAGTAACTTCAGAGCCAGTAGCCAGGTGCCTGGAAGATGTTTTAAGCAACACTTCCCAATGGTTTGGGTCATGGTCTCTGGTTTTTTGTTGTTGTTGTTGTTGTTTTTTTTTTGAGACGGAGTCTTGCTCTGTCACCAGACTGGAATGCAGTGGTGTGATCTTGGCTCACTGCAACCTCTGCCTCCCAGGTTCAAGTGATTCTCCTGCGTCAGCCTCCTGAGTAGCTGGGACTACACGCATGTGCCACCATACCCGGCTAATTTTGTATTTTCAGTAGAGATGGGGTTTCACCATGTTGGCCAGGGTGGTTTCTATCTCCTGATCTTGTGATATGCCCGCCTCGGCCTCCCAAACTACTGGGATTACAGGCGTGAGCCACCGCTCCCGGCCTCTTATGGGACCTCTACGGAGTTTACAGGAAATGCATAAATGTTGAAATCATTATAGAAATGTAGAGATAAAAGATAACTTATGGGTCATTTTACTTTCATGATACCACAAATTGCTGTGTTTTTCTAGCAGTCTTTTATTTTTTTCTCTTAGCCCAAAAACTTACTGTTTAAACCATTAGCTATTTTTTATAAGCAGTGTTTACATGACCTGTAGATTATTACTTAAAAACTTTAAATAATTAAACCAAGTTAAAAAAGAATGGAAACTTCAAGTCTCAGAGTCTTTTTATTTTTGTTTTCAAAAAATAAGGTGATACAATTGAAAAAATAGCAGATACTGAAAGGTACAACTATTATATAATTGGTGATCTCTCTGTTGCCTAATTTTAATTGACAAATAATAATTGCACATATTTATGAGGTAATATTCAATAAACATATATACCACGGAATGAACAAATCAGAGTAATCAACATATTTGTCACCACAAATATTTATCTTTTTTGTGGCAAGAACATTTAAAATCCTCTCTTTTAGTTACTTTGAAATATGTAATACATTATTATTAACAATAGTCACCTTGCTGTCCAATAGAACACTAGGGCTTATTCCTCCTAGCTAACTGACTTTATACCCATTGACCGAGATCTTTCTTTTCCCACCCCCTATCCCAGCCTCTGGTAACTGTCATTCTACTCTCTACTTCGACTTTTTTATATTCCACATGTAAGTGTAATTCTATGGTAAATACCTCTCTGCCTAGGTTATTTAACTAAACATAATGTCCTCTAGGCTCATCCATGTTATTGCAAATGACAGAATTTCTCGTTCTATAAAGACTGAATAGTGTTCCATTATGTATATACACCACATAATTTTTTTTTTAAATCAACCTCTACTGTTATTTCAGAATTCAGAAGGTTGTTTTATTTAATCATGTTCAAATATGGCTAGTATCAGCTTGGGCCATTTCCATTCCTTCAGTGTAAATTAAATCACTTTATATTCCAGGCCCTATGCTTGTTATTCTTTTCTGTTTCATAATACTTATCGCATTTTTAGTCATATATTTATTTGTGTAATTTCCTGTGTAACTTCTTTCCCTTCCACTGGGTTGTGAGTTCCAGTGCAGAAAGAAGCACATCTATTTTATTTGTATTTCCCTAATGCTTAGCACTATATCCAGTATATAGTAAGTATTCAATAAATGTTGAATGAATGAATGAGTGAAAAAATAAGTGAAATAAAAGGGCTAGTTTAAGCCATTCAGCTCCATCCTGTTCAGCGTAAATTCAAAGCATATGAGCAAATCCTTGTGTTAAAATGGATGGCCATTTGCTCTTGTTTGGCATTATAAAAAAAGAAAACAGAAGTGGATGTCTTCAGTAATGGGAATTGCGTTCCCAAGGGTCTGGTGCTTGGGCAAGAGAAGGGCATTGAAGAGGCCTACTCAAGATAGTCTGGGAACAGATAATCCCAATGATTAAATCCAAGTTAAAATCTATTAAAGAAAGGATGAGAGCACCAAAAGAAGGATGGAGGCCAGGCACGGTGGCTCACGCCTGTAATCCCAGCACTTTGGGAGGCCAAGGCGAGTGGGTCACCTGAGGTCAGGAGTTCAAGACCAGCCTGGCCAACATGGTGAAACCCTGTCTCTACTAAAAACACAAAAATTACCCAGGCGTGGTGGTATGTGCCTGTAATCTCAGCTACTGGGGAGGCTGAGGCAAGAGAATCACTTGAACCCAGGAGGAGGTTGTGGTGAGCCAAGATTATGCCACTGCACTCCAGCCTGGATGACAGAATGAGACTCTGTCTCAAAAAAAAAAAATTAAAAAAAAAAGGACGGAGCAGGGGGAGACACAAGGGCAAAACCACATCCGAAAGGTGCAGATACAGAGTCAAGAGGTAATGTAAGTGGACGTAAGGTCCTAGTGAAAGTGGATCAGGTACAAAAATACATTGAATTTAGAGATATTGGCAAGCTTGGTGACTGGCCTGAAAATTGGCATCATTAGGCATCTGGATCTAACCTCATCTAAAGTGTCCTTGCAAACCTTATCTGGTACTAATTTTGTGGAGTTCATGCAGTTTTATTATGCCCTCATTCTTCTTGCTCATGTCCAAAGAAAAAGTGCTCAATAACACCCATTAAATTCTTTATTTTAAAGGAATAGTATAATATTCAAGAAAAAATAATTTGGCTTCTTCCTTGAGTTGACACGTGAGATGTCTCACACTCAATTACAGATAGTTTTTCGTCCCTTTAGTCACCAGATCTTTATTTATACTTACTAAGCAATGCGCCTTTCTCAAAAAAGAGTCTTCCTAACTAGTAGGTCTGACCTTTTGACAAGTTAATAAAAAAGTACAAGAGTATTGAGAATTCCAAAGATGCATGACGCCTCTGGGGTCACTGATGTTTGCAAATGGCACCCAATAGAAAGGCCAGTGTGGTGAAGTAAATAACCCACTGTTGATACAGAGAATAGGAGTACCCCGGTGTCTTCTATTGCACCACCAGAAATCAAATCATCTATAGAATTCTTGACTTGTCAGTCTCCTCAGTGCTCCATTTAATTTCTATGTAAAATATCAAGTTATTTTTAAATCTTCTTTTGGGTTATTACATTTCTATTCTATTCTGCATCCACCTCTCTATTTTCTTAAATGAATGCTTATGAAACGTTACTTAGTGTTGACATTCTCCAACTTGGTATTCCGAGCCTGCTCTCAAATTTTATCACATGCACCTTGTTCTTTACATATAATCAATTATTCTGTCAAAGTTAATAATATAACTACATTTTTTCAGAGATGTGCTTCTATTTTATATGCATATATTTATCATAGCAGTGGCTTTTGAATTTTGATAAGAAGCTTAATCAAATAAGCTTTGAGAGACCTTATTGAATTTATGCTAGACTTACTTTTTAGAAACTCTGTGACTGTAAATGATGTTTTGTCCTAAAATGTTTATTTTTTATTTTAATATAGTCTGTCTATGGTTTACAAAATGATATTAGAAGTCACAGTCCTACCCACACACCCACACCAGAAACTAAACCTCCAACAGAAGATGAGTTACAACAACAGGTGAGTCAGCCTATGAGATGACCTGTTAAAGGTTTACAGAGTAACAGCTATGAAAACCGAGAGTAAATGTTAATAGTGGGTATTTTTAAAGGTTATTTGTATGATTGCCTGTTTCATATGGAAGATTTGCAGTTAAAAGATAATAAAATTTTCTAATTTTAAGTATTGTAATTACTTGAAAATGTATCAATATATGGTAATGATTTTCAAAACCCCTCACTCTTTATTTACCCAAATCCTTGTTCCTCTAACCAGTTGTAAAAATCACCTATGCTGATTTGTAGGTGACTCCATCATCAATAGTTACTTTGTACCCCAAAGCTCTGTTTTAAAGAGTAAGAAGACAAGAGGTTGAGAACATTGTCACACTTCCCATATCCAATGATAGGACATTTTCTTCAAAAGAGTGCTTATTCTTCCTTTCCGCAGTGGTGATTTCTCTCTACCTCTTGAAGTTTTTTCTTATCAACACTGGTGTACAGTCATGGAGTCATGCTAATACTATCCAAGTAATATTATAATAATATCCAAGTAATAGTTCAAAGCAAACGCCAGTGTCTCAAATCAAATAATAGTTAAATTTCTTGATTGGTTCAGTCATGGGGCTTTATTCTCATTTTGACTCTTTTCCCTTAATATTTTATTATAATACGGTTTATCAAGAGTGTAATATATACTTTTCTAGTAGATTTATAATAATCAGGAAGGAAAAGTCATTCAGAGAGTTTTTAATTAAAGTTTTCTGTGCATGATTATTCCATGTGAGCTTTTGTCATGAATTGCTGATAAAAATTATTCTCAAAACACATATTGATGCTTTCTTGGTATTAGGAGATAGGATTTATTTTGAAATTATAGTAATATATAATTTTCTAAATTTGGAGGGAAGTATGATTCTGGATTTAGGTATTCACCATGAATGAATGTTTAAAATCTCTACAATTTTATTTTTTATTTTTTTGAAACAGAGTCTTGCTCTGTCACCCAGACTGTAGTGCAGTGGTGTGATCTCAGCTCACTGCAACCTCTGCTTCAAAGTCCCAAGTGATCCTCCTGCCTCAGCCCCCAGAGTAGCTGGGACTATACTACCTGCAGCACTACACCTGGCTAATTTTTGTATATATTTTTACAGACAGGGTCTCACTATGTTGGCCAGGCTGGTCTCAAATTCCTGGGCTCAAGTGATGCGCCCACCTCGACCTCCCAAAGTGCTAGGATTACAGGCGTGAGCCACTGCACCCAGCAAAATCTCTACAATTTTAAAATAAAATTACATTTCATTAAAGTAGGCAGAATGGTCAAACTCATTGCTGTTCTAAAGTGATATCAGTTGTGTTCACATTCCAACATTTCATTTTGTCAACTCTTTAGGAGCCCTCTGCTTTTATTTTTTTAACCAACTTTGAAATTGTACTGACATAGAATATACTCTTGTTCAGAGTTGCCCAGTCGATCATGATTTAGAGTGGGAAACTGTGAAAATGTCATTACTTATGTAACTCCTTCTCTAATCCACTTTTCAGATAAAATATTGGCAAATACAGTTAGATAGACATCGGTTAAAAATGTCAAAAGTCGCTGACAGGTGAGTATTTCGAAGTGTCTACATAAATTTTAAAATTTCTTGCCCGGCGCGGTGGCTCAAGCCTGTAATCCCAGCACTTTGGGAGGCCGAGACGGGCGGATCACGAGGTCAGGAGATCGAGACCATCCTGGCTAACACGGTGAAACCCCGTCTCTACTAAAAAATACAAAAAACTAGCCGGGCGAGGTGGTGGGCGCCTGTAGTCCCAGCTACTCGGGAGGCTGAGGCAGGAGAATGGCGGGAACCCAGGAGGCGGAGCTTGCAGTGAGCTGAGATCCGGCCACTGCACTCCAGCCTGGGCGACAGAGCAAGACTCCGTCTCAAAAAAAAAAGAAAAAATTTTAAAATTTCTTATGACAATTAAATGTGTTTAAAAATGGAAGAGAGCTGTTGGGACAGATAATTAGAATCCTATAAGTAATGTGATTTTGTTTTCCTTTTTGCACGTAGAAAAATTTTCAAAGAACTCTTTTGACGTAGTTTAAATGACAGAATGATTATTATTGTCAATATAATGCCTAGACGTCCAGTCCTTGTTCAACTAAGAATCAGATACAGCGGATAATTCTGCAGAGTCTAGCTTTTCACTCCTGCCGGAAGACATGAAACTTTCCGTTTATTGGTTACCTTTTGGCAACTTGGAGCTTCTCTATAAACTTACTGTAACAGTAACAATTGACACTGTTCCTGCCTGACTTCGGAATATGAATGAAACTCAAATTTTAGATATTTTCCCTTTCTTCATTTAAATCTGTTCTTAATGCCATTCATATTCTTCACTTTTGGGCATTGCCAACTCCTGCCTCTCCAACTTCTTTCCCTTCTCCCTTTTTAAATTTTGTATATACATTTAAAAAAACTTGTCAGTGGCTCCCATTTTACTTAATTCCTATAAATACTTTCGACAGAATTTCCCTTTTAAGCCCTTCTCTAAGTTAGCTAAAAATCTGTTCTGCTGTGGGTGGACTGCTTAACCAAAGATCGGAACTGACTCTTAACGGTGCCCTTCACACACTGACCTCTTCCATAGTGCTTCATGTTAAACAAGGGATATTGATTTATATAGCTTAGGCATGAGGAGAGATGGAATCTTTAGCCACAGTTTTCTGCCAAAAAGCACAATAAGTTGTTGCATGAAAGTTATTGAAACATGAAGATTGCCATTGGATTTCATTCTTTAAGTGAGCAAGAATTCCTTGGTCCCACATTTTTATATTGTTTTCCTTGCTTTGGACTGGCTGTAACCCCAGTCAGAAAACTAAAGAAAGTGGAAATGTTTTTTCTCCCTAGTCTACTAGGTTACACGGAACAGTATTTAGAATACGACCCGTTTCTCTTGCCACCTGATCCTTCTAACCCATGGCTGTCCGATGACACCACTTTCTGGGAGCTTGAAGCAAGGTAGGTGGCATTTTGTCTTTCTCACAAATATGTTGCTGTATTTCAGGGTCTGAGTGAAATGGGAAGGAATTTATTGTTGGCTAATTGTGAATGTAATTTTGTTCTTTGTCTCCATTGGCTCATATCTAACATTCTTGTTTGAGATAATGGCTTTTGAACCTTAGACATTCACGTTTGCATTAAGATTTGCATTGCTGGAAAGACCAACCCAAAATTAGAGGTGCAATTATTCAGAGTTAGGATCTTCAGTTCTTGAAATTTAGCTCATTGCTATTATCTTCCTGGAAAACCCATGTAGTCACAAAGGCTCATGTATTCAAGTAAAATGAATGCTAAAGCCATGCATACTTAAGCCCAACACAAGTATTTCTTTATAAATTGAATTTTAAAACAAAATGGTCTTACCATAAACACTGTAAGAGAAACTGGCAAGACACTTACTTCCTAAGAAAAGCAAAGCACCACTTAGGACTCCCTGGTTTCCTTCATGAGCTATATAGGGAAAGAATTACATCATCAGTCTTAACAGAGTCATAAAAAGATCATGGCTTATCACTTTACAAAGAAAAGATTGGTACTGTGTCATATTTCTAGCAGTTCTCTAGATTGCATTTCTGGACTATCTCTTTCTTTTGCATCCAGCCATGAATCTTAAACACTGGACATGCCCAGAACTCTTCATCCACAAATTAAAGACTTTACAGATGAGAAAGCTGGAACCCCAAAATATTGTGACTCAGCTAAGATTAGGTCACAGATTTAATTGACGCCAGAGTCATAAGCTAGTATTGAGATCTTTTGGTTACCAATGCATTTTCCCCAGTTCAGTATACCTGCATGACACTGTGTGGCATAGTGGTTAAGAAATGTGTGCCTGGTGTGGTGGCTCACACCTGTAATCCCAGCACTTTGGGAGGCTGAGGTGGGTGGATGACCTGAGATCAGGAGTTCGAGACCAGCCTGGCCCAAGTGGTGAAACCCCATCTCTACTAAAAGTATAAAAAGTAGTGGGTCATGGTGGCAGGCGCCTGTAATCCCAGCTACTCGGGAGGCTGAGGCAGGAGACTCTCTTGAGCCCGGGAGGCGGAGGTTGCAGTGAGCCGAGATCGCACCGTTGTACTCCAGCCTGGTTGACAAGAGCGAAACTCCATCTCAGAAAAAAGAAAGAAAAGAAGTGTGGCATTGAGGTCAGAACATCTGGATCTTTGCCCCTTATTACTTGCCTGACATTGGCAAGTGATAACTCTATGCCTCAATTTCCTCATCTGTAAATAATAAGATTAATAGTGCCTATCTCATAAAGTGGCTGGCAGAAACTAAAAGAGACCATTTTTGTAAAGTCCTTAGCACATAATGCTCAATAAATGTTAGACTTTATTATTAGTACTAATGTACATGATGATTTCACGCAGAGCCGTTAATCAGAGGTATATTTTTTTGAAACAAAAGGTAAAGATGGGAACTTCGAGGCACACATGATTTTAAAGGAGAATGTAATAACAAAAAAATTGGAATTCTGATGAAAGGAATGTGTTTGCCTTTGTTTTATCTTCTATAGCAAAGAACCGAGCCAGCAGAGGGTAAAACGATGGGGTTTCGGCATGGACGAGGCATTGAAAGACCCAGTTGGGAGAGAACAGTTCCTTAAATTTCTAGAGTCAGAATTCAGCTCGGAAAATTTAAGGTAAGACACATTGCTTGGATCTTATACGCCAGAGAAATACTGTCTGTGATGTATCTGGTTATTCTGGAGGTAATAGATCCTCCACTAACATCATAATGATGTTATGAACCCACTGAATTTCTGCCACCTAATGAAGGGAAAAAAGATAGCAAGGCAAAGGCTGTCCCACGTATCAATTTCTTATAACTTATTTTTACGCCGTCTCTGTGCCTCCAGATGTTTTAACTATACAAATTTGGTGGCTTTGAAATGGACTCTGTAAAGAAATGCAGTACAAAGAGCAATGTTTGGCAAAGTGGAGATTGGCCAATAACATTTATGAAGTTCAATAAAAATATCATCTATTTGTCAATGTTGACTATCTTTGCGTATCACTTCTCAAGCAAGTTAGAGAAGAAGAGACTGGGCAGGTGTATCAAATAACTTGAAACCAAACTACTGGGCTGTCTCATTCTCTTTGCATGTTTAAATAATAGCCACAGGGCAATTGAGAGCAGCACAGCATTGAGCTGTTCATGAGACAGCAACACCCGTTCTGCCCATCTGTTGTAAACATCGTCTTTATATATTTTTAAAATTTGCTAACATAAGGAGGATCTGAAAATTGCATTTTTAAATATAAGACATTAGAGTGGATTTTAATAGCTCTGTTTAACATCTTTGAAGGGAGTGATAACTTTCCACTATATAAGACTGTTTTTTCATGAGCTTTTCATTCATTATTCTTTTGAAACCTGATGCCCAATTTTTACTTTTCCATGACTTACGCAGTCCTGCAAAATTCATTTGCTGAAAGTTCTCTGCATTCATTTATTTTCATTGGAATGAAGTAGTGCCAGGCATGGTCACGTTCTTTTCAGGAGATTTAACAGGAATCCCAAACCATTCAGAAAGATGTAGGACGCTGACACATGTCACATGGATGAAGCAAGATGACCACAGGCAGAACCTGGAGGAGTGTAACTCTCTCTGTGTGCCTAGCATGGATTGCTGGCATGCAGCTTCCTATTCTCCTTCCAGTTTATGGGAATCCTTCATGCTTGGGCTTTTGCAAGATCTTGCTGCTAAAGTTGCTAAAGTTCTGTATTGAGCCTACTAATAACATTTTCTATATTGAGGTCACATTGTCAATGATTGAGTGCAAGAATTCATTAAAAGGCTAGGCGCGGGGCTCAGGCCTGTAATCCCACCACTTTGGGAGCCGAGGCAGGTGGATCTCTTGAGGCCAGGAATTTGAGACCAGCCTGGCCAACACGGCAAACTCCATCTCTACAAAAAATAAAAATTAAAATTAACTGGGCATGATGGCACATGCCTGTAGTGCCAGCTGCTGGGGAGGCTGAGAAATGAGAATCACTTAAACCCAGGAGGTGGAGGTTGCAGTGAGCCAAGATTGCACCACTGCACTCCAGCCCGGGCAACAGAGCAAGACTCTGTCTAAAAAAGAAAAAAAAAAAGAATGCATTAAAAATAAAGCAGAGATAAAGGATCCTTGAGGCATTTTAGTGGCTGGGGAGATGGATGTTCCTTTCATTCTCTAAGTTTTTGAAAACATGCTGGTATTATTTGTATCATGATGAGTAAATAAACAAGTAATAAACCTTACCAGCCTTGCCTAGCCAAATAAAAACATCTGCTTCTCTCATTAAAATTACAGTCTGTTAGTAGATACAGACGAGAAAACAAATTGCAGCACAAAATCCTGGGTGTTTAGTTGGGAGAAGCACAGAGGGATGCCTAGCCCAGAGTTAGAGACCAGCAAAGGGATACTAGGGGAAATTGCTTCTAGGCTAAGAGCTGGACAATGAGGAGGAGATAAACCATCAAAACAGGAAGAGAGAAGATGCTTTTGGAAAAAGAGCATGTGGATACTCAGTTTCAGGCATGAATTGAATTATTGCCAATTTCTTAGTTCAAGCTTTAATCATTTCTTATCTTAATCATTCTATGCCGTACTAGACTCTAGGCTAAGTAATTATATTTAAGAAATATTAGATTATCTTATATATATGCACATATTATATATATACATATATATATTTCTTGAGTATCTACTATATGCCTATCATAGTAAGTATAGATCAGTAGATAAATGAAAGATGTAGATTAGATTAATTATTGAATACCTACAAGACACCAGAATATATTTATATCTACTACTTTTATAATATGCTATGTTATATTTTGCATTCATTATTTCTGATCATCACACATCTAACCACCAAAACCAACATAAAGTGTAAATATTGCCTCATTTTATAGATGAGAAAAGCATGACTGAGGAAGCTTAAGCCAAGAAAGTATGGCTAAGGAGGTCAGATTGCATGTAAGTGGCATTCTTGGCTTCCTGCAAACCAGTACCAAGCTACTGTCCACTGCTCCCCAAATCTGAGCCCTACTCTGCTTCCACTGACATATCTGTGTCACACACTGAAGGAGACAAAACGGTCCAGTGGTCAACAGGGCTGTGAATTGCACTTAAAATAAAATAACCCTCCGTGCATCTTAACCAAACAGCTGCCCTCCTGCTATCAGTGAGAGTGTGTCACTCACCTGAGCTTTTTTTTTTTTCCAAATATTAGGACAGGAGAAAAATAAGAAGCACTGTTTCTCAATAACTACTTATGCTTCAAATGCACCCTCTGCTCTCCCTAATAGAGAGAAGAAACTTGAAATTTTATGATGTATTTCCCTCATTCTTTTTTTTCGAGCAAAACACATAGCATGAGCAAGTGCTAAGAAAATGTAGTAATATCATGAGTTTTTATCTTTGAGTGACTAAAAATATGCCAGGTACTTTTCAGCACCTTCTATATAATTTATATCATTAGTATAGATTAATGGAATTAATTTAATCAACTAATCCAATGGAAACCAATTAATCCAGTGGAAACCCAGTGAAATAAGCATTATCATCCCATTTTACTGATGAGGAAATCAAGAATCAAAGACATTAAAAATACTTACTTAGGTTCCAGCTACCAGGAAATAAAGGATATAGGATTTTTTTTTTTTTTAAGAGAGATGGGATCTTTCTCTGACACCCAGGCTGCAGTTCAGAGGCACCATCATAGCTCACAGCAGGCTTGAACTCCTGGGCTCAAGTGATCCTCCCACCTCAGCCTCCTGAGTAGCTGGGACCACAGGTGCACGCCATTGCACCCGGCTCCTCCATGCTATTAAGCTATTACAATAATTACAGTAATGGTGAGACTAAGAAAGGCAACGATGCTGTTAGAAAGACCATGTGAGGGAGTGCTTGTGGGCATGTCATCTGCTGCAGACTTTCTGGGGGCAAACCTCAGCCGTGACACTAATAGTGAGCAACCTTAAATAAGCAACTTCATCTTCATATGCTCAGTTTCCTCTTCTCTAAAATGAGGGGAATAATAGAACTTGCTTTATAGAGTTACTGTGGGAATTAAATGAGTTAATATGTGAATCACTTAGAGCAGTGCCTGCACCTACATGTCAGTGTAGGTGTGGTTATTAACTTCTCAACCCTTTTATATTTTATGCTTATTTCCAGGCCCATTTCAGATGTCACTGGATTTAGAATAGCTTTTTCTAGATCCCCCTTTTCCAATCCAGCACTTACCCCAGCAGAGGGAGTCTTTCCTGCTTGCCATTCCCAGACTATCTAGTTCATTCTCTTCCTGGAGAGCCATTCATGTACTTCCTGGTGTTACGGCCATTTAAATGGTTTATCTTTTCCTCTACTCATTCTTTGAGGACAGAGACTTTGATTTGATTGATGTGTTCAAAGTGTGCTGGAATGAACTTGTCTGAGCATATGTTAATTTCAAAACTCCTGCTCCCTCGGATTACACATAGCATTCCTTTTTTTTTTTTTTTTTTTTTTTTTTGAGACAGAGTTTTGCTCTTGTTGCCCAGGCTGGAGTGCAGTGGCATGATCTTGGCTCACCGCAACCTCCACCTCCCGGGTTCAAGTGATTCTCGTGCTTCAGCTTCCCGAGTAGCTGGGATTACAGGCGTTCACCACCATGCCCAGCTAATTTTTCTATTATTAGTAGAGACAGGGTTTCACCATGTTGGCCAGGCTGATCTCAAATGCCCAACCTCAGATGATCTGCCTGCCTCGACCTCCCAAAGTGCTGGGATTACAGACGTGAGCCACCACGCCCAGGCTTGCATAGTATTCCTATTAGAGTGCACAGTGTCTAAATCTGTGTTTTAAGAGGGAGTGGTCTTGAGCCTTCCTTTCTAAAAGTCATGGTGGTAGTTTCCTGTTTGAGGTGTTGTCAAAGTTAGATTATCCTCTGTTATATATATCTATTAAAAAACAAAATCTGGAAATGAAAACTCAAAAATCACTAGCCTGAGTAGTAGTCGATATTCTAATTCTAGCTCATGCACTTCATTACTGATTTCTGATTATTCATTAATGGTCAAGTTAAAGCTTAGTAGTTACGAAGGTACTGCTGATCACCTCTGTTCAGACTCTGTGGCCGTCTTTGCCTTTCCTTGACTGCATCTGCTATTAGAGCAGTAAGAGTGTTTACGGAGGATAACACAGTCCTAGCAGCAACTTTTTCACGTAGAGTGTTTGTTTCTATTAACAAATTATGATATAGTCATTTATCTTTTAAACATTATTTCTGGAGATCTAACCAGCAAGCTCTAACCTAGAGCACAATATTGAAGAAATGCAACCAGTTAATACAATGTGGCCCCTTCTCACTAGACTTTACCACTTGCTATTATCAACCAAAACACACTCCCAGGTTCCTTCAGTATATATATATTCTATAAATATAGTCTATATTCAGAAGTAAGTCAGTATATATTCTTCTGTGGCTTCTGAATTGCAATGATGCCTCTACACATTTAAACTTTTCCAGTAATTCCATGTGAAAGCTTGCTGCTTCGGTCATTCCATAACTCTCTCAATTAAATTAGCTTATCATTAGTTAATTGTTTTTATTTTTCCAGCCAGGGAATTTTCTGATCTTATGTCCAGGCCTCTTTTAACTCCAGCGAAGCTTCTTTGTAATTCCCTTACAAGCTAGAACAGAAAAGGCTCTCCACACTAGCCCCCATTGCTCAAATGGACAGAAGATCCAAAGAACACAGTGCATGGCTTTGTCTCCCAGTTGGAGGCTCCATGTCCTGCACCTTTAATTCCCTTCAAACTCCTCTTCATTTTCAATAAACAGTTAGCAGTGCTACTTTCCTTAGGTAAAATGAATGTTATACGGGGCTCTGACAGATCTGCTTTTAACAACAAACACTTAAAAGAGATTGTTTTTCATAATTCCTTCCAAAGAAGATTATACCTTTGAATATAGTCAGTACCACCCTGATACTGGAAGCCCTCAGAGAAAGTGAGTTGGCTGTGAGTCATCATGATGAACTGCATGATCCGTAAATATCACAAGGATTTTCAGATGATGGACCGTCAGAGTAAACACCTGATCTCACATTTTGCATAGATTCTGGCTGGCAGTGGAGGACCTGAAAAAGAGGCCTATTAAAGAAGTGCCCTCAAGAGTTCAGGAAATATGGCAAGAGTTTCTGGCTCCTGGAGCCCCCAGTGCCATTAACTTGGATTCCAAGAGTTATGACAAAACCACACAGAACGTGAAGGAACCTGGACGATACACATTTGAAGATGCTCAGGTGGGTGTACGGTGGGCCTCACGTCACAAATATGCTTCTGAGAAGGTGATCATTGGGTATATTCATTTTATTTTCATTATAAATGGCAGCTATTTCTAACATTTTCAATTTAGATAACTGTGAAACAACTCTAACTGATCTAGGAAGGAACAAAGACACATTAAACTGAATAGTTTTTTAAAACCTGGGAATATTTTCTAAGTTTGAATATTTTTATATGAAGGGACACATTTGAAATATTTTAAAACTTTTACTTCATTTTCTACTCTGTTCCCCCAATAAGTGAGCAAACACTATCTAGTGATGGCCCCCATCTCAATAAAAGATTTTTTAAAACATGTTTTTAAAAAGATTTAAAATCTTTAAGGCATCTTCAATGTAGAGATTCCAAGACTCTGACATTCCTGAATTATTCATTATTATAAATTATTCAAACTGAGTTAGCTTAAAGTTATGTCAAACTCAAACCAGTTTTATCTCTGGTGGAAAAAAAAATCAAATATTAGATTCTGACATTTCTTAAATTTTCAAGTTATTTTTTTAGCCTACAGAAAGAAAAAATAAAGAAAACTGATTCTAATTTCCTAAGACAAATTGTTAGTCATCTTTTCTCAAACTGGATCTTAATTCCCTTTGTAAAAACAACTTGAATTTCTGCCTTCTCTCAAAAAATATTGATACTCTAGAAGAAAAATCAACTTCTTATGAGGGGATAATGTTTGCTGATAATGTGGTATTTTATTTTATTTTATTTTATTTTATTTTATTTTATTTTATTTTTGGAAACAAGGTCTCTTTCTGTTCCCTACAGTGGCATGATCATGGCTCACTATAGCCTTGGCCTCCCAGGTTTAAGCAATCCTCCTACCTCAGCCTCCCAAGTAGCTGGGACCACAGGCATGCACCACCATGCCTGGCTAATTAAAAAAAAATTTTTTTTTGTAGAGACAGGGTGGGTCTCCCTATGTTGCCCAGGCTGGTCTCCGACTCCTGGGCTCAAGCAGTCCTCCCACCTTAGCCTCTCAAAGTGCTGGGATTACAGGCATGAGCCACTGCACCCACTCCCTAATGATGTGTTGAAGTTGGTTTTTAAATCAGAACGTGCATACTCCATAATTTCTTAAACTTCTTTTGGAGAAGAATATTAATTCTAAAAAGTACCTTTTTAAAACACACACATTACTAAAATAAAATATAGAAGACAAAGAATGAGATACACGAATATCCTTCCTTATTTCCATACTCTATAGAAAATACATTTCTCCTTGGCTTTCGTTTAAAGAAATCAGCAACTGTGTAGAAAACTAACATGAATTTTAACAGCTAACTGGATACCTATCCCATGTGGTTCAGCCATGGTCTCCGATGTAGAAATAATTACACTCTAGAGAGAACATGACAGAGAGCAGACCAGAAGTTCTGGCCCTACTGCTCACTTCTCTGCTGATCTTTCTTTCTTTCAGTCCAAGATAAAATGTCAAGCATCTTTCTAGAGGCAACAATGTGTAAAATGTTTGGAATGCCCTTCCTGCTTTTTTTGGTTATCGGTGTCACTTAAAAATATTCTTGCCTAAGAGGATCCTCTTTTCTTATAGAAAAAAAGAAATTTCTATAGAAAACATTACCATTTGGCCCTAGATTTATTTTTCAGTTAAGCTCAGATATTTAATTCTAGTTTTTCTGTGGTTTTTAAAAAATCCTATCGTTAGCTAAATTGCCTAGGTTCTGATTTCGGCTCTGCTCTGTGACCACTTCTCCATGCCTCCGTTTCTTCACCTGTAAAATGGACATAATGGTTACCAAGCCCATAGGGGGTTTGTAAGGCTTACACTAACTAATACAGGAAAGCACTTAAAAGAGTACCTGCCATATACCCAAGTATATTTGAGCACTTACTATCCACACCCCATGCTTCGCAACACATTTATTATTCCTTTAATCATCACAACAATGCTATTTTATAGATTAGAACATTAAGGATCAGAGAGATGAAAAAGTTGGCCTAAATTTACCCGATTTGTAAGAGGTAGTTCTTGAGCAAGGTAGAATCTGAATTTCCAAATGCTTCATTCCAAAACCAGCCATTGCTCTACTTTTCAAACAAATTCCCATACAGTTCCAAACTTAACGTTCTGTGAAGATCACCCTTGGGCTAGGTCTGGAGACTTAATCCTGAATGTCTTTAAATGGATTTAAAGTAACTTCAAATTATTGCTGTTATGTTTAAGACCAGAGAACTGGAGTCATTTCTTGAAACATGTATTTTATTCAAGAAAAAAAAAAAAAAGAAAGAAAATTTGGACATTCAGAATACTCTCCAATAGTTCCAAGCTCTACACCTAACTGGTATTTCACTAGAATAGGAAGATCAAGACACATATTAGCTCCCTGAGCTGCAGTAGACCAGAGTAGAATCTCCCTAGATTGGGTCAAGATTGAATTGAATGAGTAACTTTTTCCTTTTTTTTTTGACTTCTTTGTCTACCAAAATTCATTATCAAAACAGAATTTTGCAAACTTCTTAGGGGTGAATGATCAAATATTTACCTAATCTGTCACTGAGTAAGTAATAAGAAAGAGCACACAAATTTGGACACTTAGCAATTAAATATCACAAAATTTATTTTTGGACTTGTGCTCTGACCCAAGGTGGGCGTGGAAGACAATTTTCCATGCAATTTGTGCCAAAGAGATGATCCGATTCATCTGGGCAGTTGGCCCCCCTCCAGTAAATGTAGAGGCCAAAAGTATCCAGGATGATTACTCAGTCTGAGTTAACATTACTCACTTCAGGCCTGGAGTAATTTTAAGAGATAGCAAATTTAGTTATATTATCTAGTGATCTATATAAGTCAACAACTTGATCTGAGGTTATTTTCTGAGAAATTCCATTTTTTTAATGACTGGATGTGATTTGCCTCCTCAGTAGCTCCTAAACCAATTTAAACAATGATCCCATGAATGAGATATTGAGTTTGAAGATCTAAATGTCCTGTAAATAGAAGGTATTCTAATCAGCATTGTTATTACTATTTTTAGCTGCTACTAGATTTGTTCTTTAGCCACGTGTGGCATCATAATATTTTACTTTTGCCAAGAAATGATAAAGAAGCACCTCAACCATTATTTCTTTTTAGGAGCACATTTACAAACTGATGAAAAGTGATTCATACCCACGTTTTATAAGATCCAGTGCCTATCAGGAGCTTCTACAGGCAAAGAAAAAGGTATTGGTTTTTTCGTGAGTTGTTTTTTCTTGACCTAGTTCTCAGTTATAATTATCTGGAGTAATTACCTCTGCTGAATCCAGGGTATTGGACTAATGGTAAGTGAACATACTCCAAGACCCTCCCCCAAACCTTTGCATTTTATAAGGGCCATTTAAGTTGTTTCTGTTTGTTTATTGCTTATTGTATTACTTTCTGTTTGTTTGTTTCTGCAGATGTTCATGCTTTGCAAAATTTATTAGAAGCTGTTTTCATGTTTCATGTTAGTCTTCCGTATGCCTAGTTTCAAGGAATCAAAATTACAATAAAGAAAAGAAAGTAACAAAGTCATTAGATCAAAAACTTCAAGAGGGGTTTCTTTGCTCAGTAAGCTAGAATGTATGTTTTGAACCACAGGCCTCATAACTGAAAGTAGACTCACTTTTTTCAATAATAGGTGACAAAAGGTAGGAATGTTTGCTTCTGAATATTTTCATTTGGCATTTATCCTGAATCACTGAATATCCCTGTGATGAATTTTATACACCTAGCATGGTAGCCAAGCACATTATGGGAGCATTGTAGTAGACCTCATTATTCAACAACGTTAATAATCAATGTCTCTCTGTTCGTAACTCCTTACGCAATCGTTATAACAGGGAAGAGAAAACCTGGACATAAACATCAACACCATTCATTATTTTTAACGTTAAAATAGTTCACAGCTTCTTGAAATTCTGAGTTTAAATTATAATTTTGTGTAGTTCATGATCATCATATAGGCTAATAAGATTTTTTTAAGTCCATTGCCTTCACAACTGGAAATGGATACTTCGTAGTAACACTATCCAGTGCAGCAGTCACTAGCCACTTGGGACTGTTTAAATCTTAGTTAATTAAAATTATATAACGTTCTAGCCAAATTTCAAATGCTCAAGAACCACAGCTACAGACTTCTGTATTGGACAGCATGGAATGAGATTTCCATCCTTTTGGAAAGTTCTGTTAGACATTAATGCTCTATAGAATTAATGATGTTGTCAACAGAAATTTTTTCTGATAAAAGTTTTGAGGAAATTCTGAGGATATGCTGCTAGATTTTTAAATATTTAGGCTCTGCAAATGTCAGTATAAAGCCTTCACATATCTACTTCATTTCGGCTTAATTTGATTTTGCTTGAATCACACCATTTTGTTTGTACAAGAAAAGTTTCTGGTGTTAGCACTAATGAAAGCAGAGCCGATGTCCTATGAGAAGAAGCCTCCCTCGGCGGCTCTCCTACCTCTATGGGCCTTCTGATTTAGAACATGGATTTGGCGTTGCATCATTTCATTATCCTGTCTTTTTCTGCTCTGTTTTCCTTGCTTTTTTTTTTTTTTAATCTTCCTTTATTTCCCTTCACCCTATCCTACCCCACATACATAAGTCTGGAAACTCAATGGATCGCAGAACATCTTTTGAAAAATTTGCACAGAATGTGGTAAGTTTTATTTTTTGAGGAATTATGAATCATTAAGTCCAATGAAATTTTTCCAATTTTCCTATTTCTAGCCCTGTTGCCCACCTTGCATTCTTGATGTAACAGCAAAAGTGTTTCTTTTATTCAAATTCAGAACTTCATGTTTTCTGCTTATCTTTCTGTCCCGTCCCTTTCCAGAGTAGAAAAAGATGTTACATGTGAACAAGTATCTGTAGAGAACTAAAGTTTGAAAAGAAGTTTATATTACGATATGTAAAAGGAAGGAATAATAATTATTCTTTATCTTTTTATTTTTATTCCTCATATTCCTTTCTTTATTAAAGATAGTGCATGTATTCCTATGCTCCTTCCCTTAGCCCTTCCCGAGGCTTAAAATATTAAGAACAATGAAGGTTCTATGCTTTTTACTTCTGCAGAGAGAAAATGATCTACTAAGCAGTTTAAAGCTAAAGATTGTATATGAGTGGTGGTTGGTGACAAGATATACCCCACCAAAGACTCACTAGCCTGCCTTTCTTACTCCTTATTTTTCAGGAAGGTATTGAAAACTGTTGCATAAATCACCTGAGAAACCAGTAGTTTTCCTACCAGTGTTTTCCTAGTATCTTGCCATGTGTTTTGATGATATATATTTGTTTGTAAGATTCTTTTTTTTGTATTGTGCCAGTGCCTTTGGAACTTTCTGACATTGTGTAAGCTCAAACTAAAGCCTTCAACACATTTATTTTTATAGGGCAGAAACATCCCTATTTTCCCATGCCATAAAAACTGTACACCAACACTGAGGGCCAGCACTAACCTGTTATGAAAAGAGGTAGAAAAATCTTGGTTTATACTCAAGTTTGTCTGCATTGTCTGTTGAGTTGTGTGGTTAAGCTCCATGCTGCTGTGTGTGTGTGTTGTGGCTTTTGCTGTGATGGCCAGTTCAGTGGAGTTATGTGTGTTGAAATGTGAGCAAACTGGATTCAACAAAGATGGCTTTTGTTTTCAGTTTCCTTCAAGGATCCTTGTGGTGGGGAATGTTATTCACTTCTACTTGTGAATTACCATTGCAACGGTACACAGAGTATTTGAAAGAATTTGAACAGTAATATAGACTGTGAACATTCAATGTGATTGCATGAGTTAAATGGATAGAGAATGATGGACTCCAGGAATGAATCACATTGTAAATAAACTTTATGAAATTTTGGCTGGCACTATTGGAATCTCTGTTCTTTAATAGAGAATTTTCTGGAGCATGCCTCGTAAGTCACCATGGGGCAACAAAGATAATGTCAAAAAATTATCCAAGATTTTGCTGGAGAAAGTGACTATCAGATAATAAGGTACTCTGTGTACTGTTTAAGAAGCATTTCAAGTTAATCCTTTTCAAATGTAATGCTGACAGTATATACTATTCTTGAAATCATAATGGAAATTTCTGTGATATAATTTAAAACAGTGATGCAACCCAGGGAAGATGGAAAGGGGAAGTCAAATGGTTGTCTTTCTTCCAACATCATATCTAATCCACTTCTCAAACTCTTAAAATAGCACCATATGGTCACACACCGCAAACTTTAAGAAAGGGCCAACAGGAAATAAGGGGAAGAGAGGACTGATCATCCACACCTTCAACCAAAATTCACACAAATGCAACCTCTGTTCCAAACTGTGTGCTATGTCTTGGGACCATGTAGAAAGTATAGATTTACAGCCATGTCCAACCCTTTGAATGCAAGGACTTTTTTGCTTATCTGTGGTGGCGGATATTATAAAAATTATGCCTGGAACTTTTTTTTTTGAGATTATTTGTCGTTAGTGTTTAGTGTTTTTTATGTGTGGCCCAAGATAATTCTTCTTGCAATGTGGCCTAGAGAAGCCAAAAGGTTGGACATCCTTGGTACAGCTTGATTTCAAAGGTACCCAATGGTATAGACAAAATGTTAGGATGTACAAGGGAAAGATAAACAATTTCTGCTGGGTGTTAGGTTGAGGACGGAGGGCCCATATGTAATCTGAGAATTCCCAGAAGTTACATTTAGCTGAATTTGGAGGATTTCACTGGACCAAGAAGAGCAACTACCTTCTTTAAAAAAAAGTGGAAAAAAAACTGGAATTACTGAAGGAAAAGAGGTTGAGTACCATCCATACACACACACACACACACACACACACACACACACACAGACACACATACACACAAACCATAATAATAACTTTCAGGCACTGTTGCTTAGTGTTAATCCTTTCCCATCCAGGAAAATAAAATGCAATCTTTTTTATGTAATACTTTTATTTGGGTGTTATTCTGAAGAAATGGAGTAAGCAATTGGAAAGGTTCTCTGAATTTCCCCTTGGTTTAGTGTTCCATATTTACAACTTAAGGGTCAGCAGCTGTATCAAGCATCTTAGATCTTTACCTACTAAATTTTATGAGACAGTTTTATAGGATCAATAAAATAATTTAACATAAGACAAAGAATGAGTGATTTTATTATAATCAGATAGACTTAATGGAGTAAAGACAGAAATTACGTAAATATTTTAAAGGAATCCTCTATGCAGGGTGCTCTGGTGCATACAGGGAGGCTACAAGGTCAACAGTATCTCAGAAAGAAATGGAATAGGTGAAAATAGTAAACAAGTGTGTAGTCTAGGAAACTAATGGGGAAAAACTCACATTCATTGAGTATCTGCCATGTACCAGGCTCTGCACTGGGCGCTTCGTAATATTATCTAATTTAATTAGATAATGTGCTGACTCTGTAAGGTAGGTATTATTACATCCATTATTTTACCCATTTTGTAGGTAAGAAATTTAAAGGATCAAAGGAGGTGCATCGTTTGCCCAGAGTCACATAGTCAGCGAAGGAGCTGGGACTGACTCCAAATGTATTTTGTTCCCTAATGCTATTTCCATGGATCCACCCTGCTCTTTGACATTCTCCCAACTGACAAAAAATAAATAAATCTTGCCACCTGATGATACCCTCCTCCCCAGTCTGAGTCCATTTCCAATGCGTGTCTATTTTAGTAAGTTGATTTACATGTTCCAGCCTAGGATTTTTATAACCGAGGTTAGAAAAATGGCATTATTGTTTTTGTTTCACCCCAGAGACAAAAATATTTTGCTAGCCAGCTGTTCCAGGGGAGTTTTTGTTAGTTACCCAGACTCATAAACACTAACTAGCACTTTAGAGAAAAATTATAATAAACAGCTGAGGATTGCATTGCACTTTCAATCTTCCAAAAAATATAGACTCCTTTTTGTTTGTTTTGTTGTTGTTTTGGTCATTGTTTACATGCACAACAATCCTGGGAGGTAGTCAGGCAGGTACCACCTTTCTTCACAGACAAAAAACTGGGGGCATAGTGAGGTGAGGTCACCCTCGCCAGTATCTCTCAGCTGTTGAGTGTTAGAGCCGGAACTGGAAGCAAGCTTTTTCTTTTACTTTAAATTCATTACTCTTTTTAGATTTTTCTTATTATTTTCATCAATCTCAAAATGGGTAGGATAAAAATAACTCCCATTTGTGTAATGCCCGCATTGTGGTTTGTTGTCTCAGGAAAGCTCTTTTTCACTTCTTGGTGTTTACTCTTTTATTTCTTTATTTTTCTTGCTATCAGAGAAGTCTCTTAAGGTTGGTCTTTCAAGGGTTACTATATCCTCTCATACCTTTAAATGTTATTCTTACTAAGTTGACTTTATTCTCTTTCAAAAAAGTTCATATGCTTTAAGAATTATGAAAATTATTTTCTTCATCACCATCATCAAATCTGACACCACTTTTCAGCCATTAAAATATCACAGCATCTGCTGGGCATGGTGGGTCATGCCTGTAATCCCAGCACTTTGAGAGGCCGAGGCGGGTGGATCACCTGAGGTCAGGAGTTCGAGACCAGCCTGGCCAACATGGTGAAACCCTGTCTCTACTAAAAATACAAAAATTAGCCAGGTGTGGTGGTGCACACCTGTAATCCCAGCTACTTGGGATACTGAGGCAGGAAAATCACTTGAACCCAGGAGGCGGAGGTTGCAGTGAGCAGAGATCATGCCATTGCACTCCAACCTGGGTGACAAAAGCGAAACTCTGTCTCAAAAAAATAAGAAAAGATAACATGATAGGATAAGATAAACTATAGCATCTGTCTGCTACACAAACATTAAAGAGGAACAGATAGAAAACAAAGGAAAAGCAGGGTAGGATGACTGATTAGCCACATCTTCAATCAAGATTCATAATCAACTGCCAACTGTGTGACTCACCTCCTGTCTTGTCTTTGTGTGAAGGAGAAATTAAATCAGTCTGGCTCTGGGCTACAAAAGTAGAAAAGTAAAAATGAATTTTAGAGAGTATTGATGTTGAACACCCACGGATTCACCTAATCTAATCTCCTTTTGGAAATATTTTCACCCTATCTTAATGAAGACAATTATCTGTAGAGGCTTTAAAAGAATCAATAGAAAAAAGATGATGCCTCCTTGGCTGTCCCATTCTCTCTGTTCTGATATATTTGTGCTGGGGCTTTGAGCTCCTAACTATGCCCTGGAGACTGGATGGAATGACCAGAAGTTGTGGAGACTCCGTGAGAGAATTTTAACAGGACTGGGTTGGCTCTGAAATCAGTTGATCTTTAGGATCAAATCTGTTTTTTTGTTGTTGTTGTCATTGTTGTTGTTTTGTTGTTGTCATTGAGACACAATTTCACTCTGTCACCCAGGCTGCAGTGCAGTGGTGCGATCTTGGCTCACTGCAACCTCTGCCTCCGTGGTTCAAACAATTCTCTTGCCTCAACCTACTGAGTATAGCTGGGACTACAGGTGCCCGCCAACACACCTGGCTAATTTTTTGTATTTTAGTAGAAATGGGGTTTCACCATGTTGACCAGGCTGGTCTCGAACTCCTGACCTCAAGTGATCTGCCCACCTCGGCCTCCCAAACTACTGGGGTTACAAGTGTGAGCCACTGTGCCTGGCCCAAATCTGTTTTTAACTCTGCAACTCAATTGTTTAAATGTTGATAGGAGCAAATGTAAATGTAAATCCTCTTATTTGAAATATAAAACAAAGAAGATACAATACTTAGTTCTTTTAGAATGTTCTTTTGATTAAATAAAATTAAATGATTTATCTAAGCCCACTGTGGAATCACTGGTTAATACAGCCTTATACAGATTATATATAAGTGGTAACATGGTAAAAAGAGCCTGGGCCAAGGAATTTGATGTGTTTCTATTTAGGTTTGAAACCTAGTCCTATATATTCTAGCCATGTGAATTTTAAAAAATCATTTAAGGCCGGGCGCAGTGGCTCATGCCTGTAATCTCAGCACTTTGGGAGGATGGCTCTAGGCCAAGAGTTCAAGACCAACCTGGGCAACATGGCAAGACCCTGTCTCTACAAAAATAATAATAATTATAATAACAATAAAAGAAAAAATCATTTAAACTACTGAACCTCAGTTTCTTCACCTCTAGACAACTCTCTCTACCCAGACACAGCTCCAATTAGCATTTTGCACAAATAAATATAAATATTCAAGAATTTGAATTGTATTTAAATATTCTTTTGAAACATTCTTTATTCACTTAAAATGCATTGTAAATGTCTTCCAAATAATTAAGTATTCTTCTACTGATTCTAATAAACCACGCAAAATTCCTTTGAATGGATATGCCCTGTAATTTTTCTAATCATCTATGAATGGACATTTAGGTTGTTATTTATTTATTTGTTGCTTTTATAGGTCAAAGTACGATAAAATCCAAGTTATATATTGATTTTCTTTTCATAAAAAAATTGAACTGCTTAAATGGAATGTAAATTTA